CATGGGGTGTTTTTCCCCCCCCCCCCCATTTCTCTTTTTCTGTACAGGAAGATAGACAGGAGTTTTATATTGTGGGCTTCAGGCAACAGGTATTAAAAGGAGATTCGTTGGTTAAATCGAACAAAACTATAGTTGGTTGACTTAATGCCATTTAAACAAATACCAATGGTCTTCATGTCCATCCAGGTCTTTGTTCTGGCCATTTTATTAAAGGCCTTCCTAAATCAAATCATATAAATATACCATCTTGAAGAGGTTTTTTAAGTCTGTAGGGTTTTCCAGGGGAAATGTGACCAGCCCCTGCTGAAAATCAGCCTAATTCTCCTAATTTCTTGCTATCGCTTTGAAAATCCCTGCCTAGATCCAGAAATTGGGAATGAGCAGAAGTCCTTCGGTGTTGTTGAGGGTTGGCTTGAATATAAAGCTTATGTAAGTTTAAGCATGTGTGATGTTAGCCTGGTGTAGCTTCTGCTTTTGTGACAATTTAAACCTATGTAGGAGTGGACCCACAATAAGATTTGTGTTGGTTTAGCTTAGCTGGTTTTAAACTAGTGAAGATAGACAAGTCAGGAGTGACGGTAAAAGCTCTGGTACAATTGCCAAATGCATAGTTTTTGATGCATGTTTTTTGATATGTGAACAGTAGATACAGTAGATGGAAGACAATAAATAAGAAAGGTTTATTAGAGGGCACCGTGGAGGTCTAGTCTCTGCCACGATAATGTGCCCATTGTTTGCCAGCGTTTCCTTGTTCTGCTCGTGAGAGTTCAGCCTGACGTTCACGGGTAGATGTTGAGAAGCTGAAATAAGTATTTGGAAAAAGTCTAGTGAGTACCGCACTGATGTTCATATAAAACTGTTGCATCTGCCAGTTGCATATTTTCCAAGGGATTTGTGAACATTAATAATCCAAGTGTCTCATCATCACTCTGAGGTAGGTAAATATTATCCCTATTATACAGATGGAAAAGTGGACACACAGAGGCAGTGCATATCATTCTCTTTTATCCCAACCAGTTTAGCACTGCAAAACTGGGAGAGTGTGGTCCTTAAGCCCAATTTAAAATGGTGTAAACAGGGGAGGTTAGGCCTTTTCTTCCTATTAAGTGGAAAGGAATGGAGTGACAGAGGTGTAGCTTTAGGCAAGTCTTGTGCTCCTGTAAGATAGCCTTAGATCTCTAGAGACTCGATTCCAATCAGGATGGTGCATGTTATAATCAAAGCAGGTCACGAGAGACCAAGGCATGAAAGAACAGCTGTTGCATGCAGTCATGCACAGTATTTTGTGCTAGAAATGATTCATTTAGTCTGTGTAATATATATGGAAATGTGCTGTGGGAACGTTGCTTAGGTACTTGAAAATAAAATGTCCTAGTGATACAGCCCAAACAAAGCTGATCTTTGATTCACAGATCTTGCAGGCTTTTCTCTTTTGTAGTCTGTCAAGTAGTTATAGGCAATCTAGTTCTTAGCTCTAGAAATATTACTGGCAGTAGTAAATCTGCATATATACAACTCTTACAGACTTGCAGGTTTAAAAGGGGCATCACTCCATCACTGAGAACATAGGGCGAATGATACAATTTCTTTCAGGCTGCTGCAGAGAGGAATATGGAAGAAGAGA